AATGCCTTTTTACCCCTTTAGCTGTTATTTGCCTTGAAAAACCTGCCAAGAGCATATGTTTTAAAGGATGTGATATACTTTCCCAGCCCTTCCTCCTGCAAGTGAACGACCTAACCTGCTTTTCTTAAACACTGGCATAGTTTCCTCTTTTGTATTTTGAATGTGACATAATGATTAGGTGCATCAAAAGCATACATTGCAAAGCTGAGACAGAGAGATTAATGACTTATTGTAACAATGGATTATTAATGATCCATGATTATACCCACATTTGCTTTGTGACTTCAGCTTGTTGTGCAGGTCAGAGCTCTCTCGTGCTCTGAGTTCTGTTTCTGCATCAGCTTGCACTGCTGGTTGGGTACCATTGGAAAAAAATACGTGTACTTCTGTGCCCGTCAATTGATGTAGGATAATCACTTTTGGTGTGTGACTTCATTTGAGGCAATCTGTGACCAATTTTTTGTGGAAGGAAACTTCTCTTTTTAAGATGGACATTAAGGTTTTGGAATTGCTATGAGATAAATTTAAAGGATCAGAATGATTTATTCTAAATTAGCTTTAGAGTTTTTTTTTTTGTTTGTTTGTTTTTGTTTTTTGTTTTTTTTTTTGTTTAATCCAAAAGAATTGATTACTAGCCATATCAAAAACTGGAAGAAGTCACTGCTGTGGTTTGGCTGTGCAAAATGAATCTCAGTCAAATAAAACTCATAGCCCTGGTTCACATCTGGGCTGGCTTCACCCCTGCAATCCTCTTGCAAGAACAGGCTCCAGGTGTTTCTGCCTCCTCACAGCAAACAAATTACTCCATTAGCTTTCAGGAAATGTTTGATGGGTGTGCAACATGGAATATCAGCGTTGCAGTGTATAGCTTTATTAGCTAAGCTGCAGGAATTGTTTTCTGAGCTGTGTTGGTCCTTAGCACGGATTGCAGAATGGAAAGGAAGGTATTTATTAGTCCTTGGGAGCCTTAAGACAGAATAATACTTACCTGTCTGGAAATATGATCAGTCTGTATTTAAGGAAGGAACACACCAAACCATTTTGTAACTGTTAATCAAGAATTTTTAGGTGCCCTGGCAGGCACAGGGATGTGTCTCCCTGAAGAGTTGGCACACAAGGGCAGGTCTCAATGGTTTTCTGAATAAAACTGTGCACATGAGCTAGGACAGGGCTTTGTATTTCAGAAAGAAAGGTGTGCCATCTCCTAGTTGCAATTCTTAATCCTTCCAGTGTCCCCAGTCCACCAGAGCTAAGTGAGGTCTCAATATGACCATGCCTTTCCATCTCCCAAAATAGCTGTTAAAAATATTATGAATAAAATCGTGTTTAGGTATGATTTACTCTAAGTGCTAAGGTTTTACAGAAAACCTAAAAGTTGGAATGTTCACGCTTTTAAGTTAAGCCTCAAAATGAGGTGGCAACTTCTGTTTTAAAACCTGAGCAAACCAAGTAATTCTCTTTTTCTTCAGAATTATGAAGAAATGCATAATGAACATAGGTCAAATATTTCAAATTTTTAACTGTAGTAAGAACATTGAGATTTTACTTTTACCAGATCATAGAAAGAAATAATATTCCAGCATTTCCTATGGTGGGTAGACCCAAAACCTATTTGGAGAGTGGCCCTTGCAGTGCCTGTTCAGCTTTGGTCCATCCTCTTTAACCCCTGGAAACACAACCCAAAAATTATCTGATCAGCCCTTTACAGTGAATGGTTTGTGATGAAACCAGCCAGTGGGAGTCAGCAGGAACTTCTACTGCCAATTTTTGGGGCAGAGGGAGTTTCCTTGGGAGAAAATTTTGAGTAGGTCATGGGCTTCTGACTGCCTCCTGAAGCCCTTTGCCAAGAGGCTGCTGGAAGCTCAAACTGCCCCAGCACAAGAACAAATAATTCTGCAGCAGAGAGACCACAGAGGGAGCAGAGATTAGAATTGTTCCCATTTCTAGTGAGGAAAAGAAAAAAAAAAGAGGGGGGAAGGGGGTATAGTAAATAAACAGTCAATAATTGTAGTACTCGGAAATCTAATTACTTTTGGTATTTATAAAATAGACCTGCATCATTCAAAAGAGTATGTTTTAGCCAATTTTACTGATTATGCCTCTGGTCCTGGAGAGTTTTGTTTGTATTGATCTGATCCAGAAGTGGGATTGGCTGCAGAAATGCCATTCTTGTCAGGCTCCTGTTTTGCATAATATAATGCCCATTTCAAAAGTTTAGGTATACCCAGATTAATTTTCTGACAGGTAAGAACAACTCACAAGCTGTTGATTAAGAGGAGAAATAAGTGCATTGAAACAGAAAAAACAAAACCAGCCCAGCCCCACACTTGGCCATTTCAGCAACATCTCTGTCTGAGCAGGCTGAGCAATGTGTGAAAAGCTGATCGTGTAAAATGCTGCTTCTGTATTTGTTTCACTCATTTTTTTTTTACTCATTGCATGATGACAGCAGGCTGATGCCCTGAGCTGAGCTGGGAATCTGGGTGGCTTTCAAATGGGCTTCAAAATGTAGAACAGAGCAGTGTAATATTAAAGGGTGTCCTTTGAAAACTGTGTCAAGATGGTGTTTCCTGACATATCTTTGCTGTGCATTCAGCCTGGGGACTTGTGGAAAGTCAATGTGCTTTTTGCTGTTGTTTTTCTCCTATTTAATTGCCTAAAGCTGGGAAGAGCTGGGGTCTTAAGGAAAGTGATAGGGAAAGCAGTGTTGGGTGTAAGTCTTCTGCTCGGGTTGCTCTTGGCTTGTCCAAAATACTATTCAGAAGAGGGAATATGTTGAATTATCCAGGTCAGCTTGGATGCACAGGTCTCTCCAGCCTTTTGTCCTTCAGCCCAGGGTGGGAGTGGCTCTGCCCAGTGTCTGATTCTGTCACTGGTGGAACTGGTGGGGGCTTGCTGAGGCCTGGCTTTGACCCTTTGGCTGCTGGGGTCAACCTGCTTGGCCTTTTTCCTGCATTTCTGCCTTTTCAGCTTTTCTGCATTTGGTGGTAAATACCAGCACCTCAGCCCATTTGGTGAGAGGTGTTTAAATTGCTGAGATGATCGCAGGCTGTATTTCTACGCTCCTGTCTCTGCTGCTGGTATTCAAGTGTGACTTGTGTGACCCAGCCCTGTGAATCATTACAGATTTTTGTTGCAACTCCCTGTATCACTGCGTACAGACTTTACTGTGCTCCAGTGCCCCTCTTCCACAGTGGCCTGATGGATTGTGCTGTGGTTTTTTTGCAGTGTGTGCTGGCACTGAGAACAAGCTGAGCTCCCTGTCTGACCTGGAGCAGCAGTACCGGGCCCTGCGCAAGTACTATGAGAACTGTGAGGTGGTGATGGGCAACCTGGAGATCACCAGCATCGAGCACAACAGGGACCTCTCCTTCCTGAGGGTAAGCAGGCTGCTGTTCTCCTTCCCTCCTCCTTCCTCCCTCCTTCCCTCTGCGTCTTTTTTGGGGGAGCAGCGATAGGTGCTGGGCTGGAAAAGACCAGGCTTCTCTCCCACCAGCTCTGCTCTGATGGAAGAGGATGATAAAATGCCAGGGATGTGCAGAGAACAAGAGCAATGTCATTGCTGTGGCAGGTGCTCTGAGTGTGAGTCATTTGGATTTATCCAGGACGTGGGGGAGAAAGCTGTGCCACTGGAAGGTGACACCTCGCAGGTCTCTCACTTTGTGTTGCCCCAGGGCAGGTTAGGTGGGGTTTAGGAAGGTCAGAGAATCATGCAGATAAGCACTGGAGGACTAGCAAAGCTAATCCTAATATGTACTGATTTATAGACTAAGCAAGGGAAGAGCTCTGGGCAATGTTTGTGGAGCATTTAAGAGAAAGAAAAAAGTGATTGCTGAATCAACATGAAACGTCCTTTGGGTATGAGACTGGAGCTATGAGCCTAACAATCTCCAGCATCCAGGGGAAGTCTGTGATAGATGAAGGCTGTGCTGCTGTTGGGGAGCCTGGGTTGTGCATTCCCTCAGTCCTCTTTGCATCCAGTTTTGGATTTGTGAAGGAACATTCCAGTGTGGTTTGCAGATACCCTGTTGCCATGCTGGAGAGAGAACGATGAACACCAAGTTCAAAGAACTTAAGCCTGTTGTTATTTGGCGTTTCACATTCTTTATGTTTAAAGAAATATCCCCCTAAAGGAGTGATCCAGGTGGGCATCTGAGGATGCTGCAGGTGATGTGGCTGTAATATGGAAAGTAGGTCTGAGGGCTAGGGCAGAAAAAGCAGCCTGTGCCACTGTAGTTGCAGTCTGTGCTGCAATTGTACTCTCCATGGCACAGATAAGGTTTACACTGCTCATACTCTTGCCTGGACCTCTTAAAAATGCTGCTGTCATGTTGCAGGATGCGTGTCCGTGTGTCAGTGGCACGTTCACATGGCAGGAGTGGTGGAGTTTAAATGTGGCAGCAGGAAGAGGCGGTGGGAGGCAGCCCCAGCTGCTTGGCTTACCCTCACTCATTCCCTGTGCTGGGTCTCGGGTGAGCTGAGTGCTCAATTCCAGTCTGGAAAACTGTGAACTTTCCACCACGGGCTCTAGCAGAGGCAAAGCCGAGCAGCGTGTTTAGCTCTGCTTCACATTGAATTTGTTGGGGGTTTCACAGCCTTGCCACTCCATACATTGGTGTATATTTACTCGGCGTGTACACCAGATCTGTGAGCAAAATTCAGCTCCCAGACGTGTCTGGTGTAAGGTTTGGGGTGCTAATTGCACTCAGACTAACAGATTGCCTGTTAATTTGAGTGACGAATGCCTCGGAAGTGAATGCTATCCCTACATTTCACAGTTGTGACAGGTGGGGAAAACACATATGCCTTTGCTCTGAAATAGATACAGCCCTGCTGCAGCTGGAGCAGCGTTGGACAGGTGGCAGATCCTCCTCCTGTGAGGGCAGGATCCCTGCTCTGACTGGGGCATCTCTGCAGTTTCAGATGCCTGCTGAAAGCCCCTGGCTGGAATTCATGGCAGGCAATCCTTCCGCTTCAGCTTTCCTTCCTCCTAACTCCTGCTGGGACGTGGGGTGCCGAAGCCCACCCTAGGTTGGAGGTGGCTCCATGTGATGGAAAACCTTCTCCTCCAACCCGAGCTTCCAAAGAAAGGCTCAGCAGTCTCTGGTTGTTTATTGCAAGTTATCTAAAAGATTTTCTTCTCTGATGCTGCAGTTTGTTCAGCAGCTCAGGCAGAGGCACACACACACCCTGACATCCTCTCTGACCCCTGGCTGCTTCTTCTATCCTCACCCAGGGCTGCTGCTGTCTTTTATAAGGTACATTACGTGTTACATGTTTACAGTTTTCCCCAATGCCTATTACCTATATTAAATGGTGCCTTTCTACTCTAAACCAATCTGTGAGTGCCAACGTCACCAAGAGCATGGAGGTAAGGAAGGAGAAAGAGGGAGGACAGGACAGGCCCAAATCTCTCCATCTTAAAACCTCTGACCCCCATGTACAAAACCAAAAGCCCCCTGTACAGGACTTAAAACCCCCCTGTACAGCACTCAAAAATTCTTCCCTCTACTTTGTAACTACTTCTACTATAATATCTAAACTTTTGTGACTTCTTGTTCTTCCTGCAAGGTTGGTAACTCATTCCATGGCTCAAACCCAAAATCACAGCTGTTGGCAGCTGCCTGCCAGGGTCTCAAATGCTTCTGACCTGGACCCAGAACCTCCAAAAATGTCTGAGGGACATTTTGAGTTCCCACAGTGGGGAAAGCAAATGACTTGGGAATCAGGAATTAGCATTCCTCACAGAGTGCTGCCATAAGCAGCTTAAAATATTGGTGGAAAGGAGGCAGTAAAATCATCAAATGAGAACAAGAAGGAAAGGTCCTGTTTGGTAAATGAAGGGGTTTGGTCACCTGTGCTTTTTGGTGACAGCTACTATTGCTTTTTTATTAGTTTTATTACTTCTCTTACCTGCATCTGCTCCCTCACAGATGTCTCAGCAAAAAAGCAGAACTTGAAACAAAACTCAGCAAACTGAAAGGCCTAGTTAGTATGATGAATTGTAGTCATTAAAGTAGAAAACCAAACAGAAGAGAACATGTTCTCGGTGAGGCAAATAAATAAATAAATGTTGGCACATTTACGCCGATAATTCGACATTCATTAGTCAGGCAGTATTACTCCTTTTATCATATTAAAAATGGTTTTAATGGCCAAATGAAGGTGGCAGATGGGACATAACTAAGAGAAAGGCTGTTTGTCTCTCTCAGATTTAAACACGGTGAACTCTCCGTGCAGCATCACGCTCCTTCAGCCTGCTGTGGTGTTTTAGTCCCTGTTGCAGTAATTCCCCTCTTCCTCCACCAAAGCCACTTCAGGTGGATGCTGGTGCAGCCCTGGGTTATCTGTGTCCCCAGCTGATGACAACCATGGCTCTGTGTGCCCACCTGCCCTCTCTGCAGTGCTCAGCTTAGCTGGGCCACTTCGTGCTCCAGGACAGAGGGAAGACCTGGTAAGCTGTAGGCATGCTGAGCCTTTTCATCATGCAGTAATGAACAAATAGCATAAATGAATTGAAGTGAAAAAACCCATAATTTTATTTACCCGGCGGAGGAACATTAAAAGATCAGCATCCCATCTCTCATATTTATTTAGACATTTATTCCCTAAGTAGATTTGCTTTATGTCTATGAGTTAGCTCTCTGGATATCTGCTGATGAAGACTAAAAGGGGCTGTCTGTCACCTGAATGAAGTGCTCAGCCACTTCAGCTTCCAGGCCTGCAGTCCATGAGGAGCTGGATTTCTGTAAGAAGGGATTGCACGTGCCAGTTGTTCCTTTTCCTGCTGTTCCTGTATGTGAGCAGAGCAGGAGGGCATATCACCTGTGTTACTTTAATCTATTTTGTTTTGGTTCCTGGTTGTGTTATAGTCTGGGTATTGCCTTCCTGTGAGCAACTGCAATATGAACTTGTGTTCTGCATGTGCTGCCCTCCAGCTCTGCCAGCTCTGCTCCTGCTGCTGTGCTGTGGCCACAAGAGAGTCGTGGCAGAGGAAAGGAGAACTCAGTAGCAGGAAAAATTGTGTCTAAGCCTGGGTGTTGGGTAAGGACAGATATTTGTGACATCTGTATGACAGCTGGCTTGCTTTGTCCTTCTTCTGAGGCTCAACCTACTCACAGAAAATGCACAAGGGGTCATTCAGCTTTTGAAGTCCTACCTCTGCCAGCTCTGGCAGTGAAAGGAGGCTGAGGTTAATGCAGCTCATGGCTGCTGTAGTCCCACCTCCCTGTGGCAGCCAGGGCAGGCTCTCCACTGGCACAGGTGCTGCCAAGAGCAAGATTGAACTGAGCAGGGCAAATCAGAGGGTGGAAAGCAGCCCTGAGAGCTGCCTCGTGCCTGTGGGGCAGCCAGGCTCACCCAGGGAGTCAGCAGTGACAGTGTCAGGGTCAGGCTCCATCTCCCACTGCTTCCCAAGCCACCAGCACGCCTCCCCTCATTGCACAGCCAGGCTTTTGCACTGGGATTTGCTCCATGAAAGCAGATAAGCTGCTGGAGCTGCTGCGTGTCTTGAGTCCTGTCCAGGCGAGAGCTGAGATTTACTTCCCTGCTTTGGACTTCAGAGAAAAAAAACCTTGAGAAAAGCTCAGGTTGTTCACTGGTTCATATTGCAAACAACTGTTTGAAGAACAGAATGGGGAACCTATTTTAGTTTAGTTTGGCAGAGCTGACAGTTCCTATCGTGGGCTGTTCTTATTTCTTAATAACATCTCCATATTCAAATTTCAAAATAATATGCACAATTAGTGTATCACATAACAATCTTCTGCAAGTACTTCTGTTAAACACATTTGGTAAATGAGAGTTATCTTTGACTAATCCCCTGGCTTTTAGCAATTCACAGTCAGTAAATTGTCTTCTCTTGCCCAGATTTTATTTAACCAATTCAGATTATTTATTTTTAAAGACATGATCAAAGTTCTGTGCTGTTCCCTGCCATAGCTCTCCCAAGTGATTATGAAACTCACTTTTAACCATGATCAACACTCTTCAAAAATTATCTACCACTGCTTTGTGTTCTTTTTTCATTCACCTCAGCAGTGCTTGTGTAGCTCCTCCAGCCACACTTGCAGGGCAGCTAGCTGACATTGAACAGGGTGGATGTTTCATGGTGAATATTACATTTATTGCAGAGTTTAGGGCCCCATCTCCCCTCTGTCAGCACTTATAGACCCATGCTTGGTGAGAACCCCTGCCAGCCCCACCTTAGCCCGTTCCTTGCAGTCACATCTGGATTCCTGGGGCAGGTGGGATTTGGCCATTTAAACTTTATGTTCTTTGTCATTGGTTGTGTCTGATGTTAGGAGGAAGTTTTGGTGAAGGAGACCCCTCTGCAGGGCAAGGACTGCCAGAGAGCCAGGAGAGCCAGAGAGCCAGGAGA